TCTTTTAAGTGTTTCTTTTTTGTTTTTCAATGAATCTGATAAAAAAAAAAAAAAAAAAAAAAAAAAACATGCTTCACCCAATCGTTGGTTTTTATCGGTTTTTAAATTGATGGTCTGACCATATCCATGTTGTACTACTTGATCTTACTTTTTGCTCATTTTGACCACTAATTGGCATTTACATACCTGTTCGTGTGTTTTAATTGTTCATTTGAATTACGACAATGTTTGCAGAGCACAATTTTTTTTTCAACCCCTTATATTCTCGACACCAACTATTTTCTAGAACTTTCAGTCCATTTCAATATATTTGTTGTTTCATGCCCTCTGTGTCCTCTCTAATCTCCCAAACTCTCAATTGGTACTTTATAATAAATGTGACACAGTGTCGTTCGTAAATGTTAGGCATATTTATGTATGACATACGTAAATGTACATTGTTTTGGTCCTCCCCGCAAATTATCGCTAAAAAAATATCGTAAAATCCACTGTAAATACAATTATTTCAAACATTTGATAAACGTGTGAACCATATACATACCAAATGTAAAACTTGCTGTCTCCCTGTCTGCTAGAAAGTTGATGTTTTTTAATAACAATACAAGATAAACGCCAACGCATATATAATATTCACACAAATAAAAATAAACCAACATGTTTAACCGGTCAGTAAAAAAAAAAGTCTCGCTGTCGCTTGAGCCACTGCTGCTGGTACACTACACTTTTTCTCGCCATGTACGTACAAGGAAAAAAAAAAAAAAAGGAAGAAGCTTCCTGGGGCGCCGATATCGCGGCTTTAATTAAGGCCGAAGGGCGTCAGGCGCGAGCATAAATCCACGCGCTCGCAATCGGAAGCTGAAAAAATCGAGCGGCCGTAAAACCGCGCAATCGCGACATCGGCCCGGAAGCAATAGACCGGCTCGCGCTTGGGTGCCAAACCGAGATACGCTCTCTTTTTCAATAAATTTATTACTCCCTTTTTTTTTTTTTTTTTCTTTCTTCAACAAAGTTTACTAAAAATGCCTGTATCAAGTTTGAGTAAATCTTGGGGGGGAAAAGAGAAAAAAGTAGATTACCATCGCGAGTATTGAAAAAAGAAACAAAACTCGATTCCCCCCGCGAGTCTTCTGATTGCCAAGCGAATCGAGTTACCAGCACCGGTGGAATAAAAAAAAACGTCCACCGGGGTTGGATTTTACCCCCACTCTCTCTCTTTTATTTCTGTCGCCTCTCTATCCATTTCCGTCGTATTTTCACATGTGATCGCATACACGACTAACTACGTTCACGCACACAGGTCCGCGGGGAAACTAGGTTGAAACTCTGATCGATGGTCCTTTTCGACTTTCTCTTTCGAAACGCACCGACCAAATTTCTTTTTTTTTTTTGCAGCCACAGTCTTTGTAATCGTACGGCCAAGTTGAAATAAATAAACACTCGAAGAAAAAAAAAAAAATAAAAGCTCAAGCGACGTGTCGAGCGCGCCTTTTCGTTTATCTCAGTTACGAGAGCGGAGTGTATATATACGCAGAGAGGGTGATTTAAAGGCTCGACGAATAAAAAAAAAAAAAAAAAGACGAAGACTCGGCCTCGGGCACCTGTGGAATCGCGTGAGAGCACGTCGTTCGGTGCAGTCGGCCCATCCATTCGCGCGATCCGATCGATCGGGAGGAATTTCCTACCGCGAGGCTCTCGAGTTTTCACGCCCTTCGTGACTTTTGTAGCTTCCAAGGGGCTTTCTAACACTCGCGGCTGCACCGCGACCTTGCGACCGAGGGAATTCCACGAGGTTTATTTTTTTCCCTCGCTACATTCGACGGCCTATAGACAGAGAGAGAAAAAAATGGGACAGCACCGAACGGAGGGAATACAAGAGAGAAAAGTGGGGTGGGGGGAGGAAAAAGTTGATTTTAATGGACTCGGTGGCTGCCAACTGCAGGGGATTGAAATGGGATTAATCGTAGGCTTTCGCGTGTCAAACAACTGATCTCGCTGCTTCGGCTTGTTTTTTCTCTCTTTTTTTTTTTTTTTTTTTTTTTTCATTTTCATTTCTGTGTCGAGGTTTACTACGACCACAAGGGTAACTAGCGCTTCGTGGTACAACTGTTTACCGGATATGTGCGTTTTTTTCGCACTAACTTATTCAAACACACGGTTTTTCAATGTTAATCACGCATACTTTTGACTGATTTTTTTTTTCAATTTTTGTTAACGCCAACGACGTGACTGTTACAAAGCACATGGTATAGCTACTAGTCGTCGCACCTGAAACAATTAACCAACAATATCCATATAGAAAAAACTAACAACATTAGCCTCGTAGTCGATAACAAAGAGCCACGCTTATACACTTTAATTAAAAAAAAAGAACAACACGTCCCTCAGCTCATTACCGCGGTATTTATAGATGAAATTTTTTTTTTCTCCCTTCCCCTTCAATTAGCCATCGATTAGCTATAGAAACTTGCACATTGAACGCCAAGGGTTATTAATATACGGGCTATGTATAGCTTTTCAATGCCACACACAAGTAGGATATAACCACGAGAGTAAAAAAAAAAAAAAAAAAAATAAACTAGGACAGTGGGTGCTTGTATACCCAACTAAGAAGTNGGAGAAAAAAAAGGAAAAAAAAAAAAAAAGAAAAAAAAGAGAGATACTAGTTAAAAAATTGTGAGATTACGGAGAGACGGACGGACGGGAGCCAAGGAAGTCTACGAGCAAGAGAGCGGCAAACGTCCCGAGCCGAACGAATGACAATGAAATATATATAGAAAGAGAGAGACAAAAAGTATAGTGCAATAGATGCAAAAAAAAAAAAAAAAAAAATTACAGAGTATACCGCTTGGTCGTTTATTGATCTCATTTCTCATTCTCAAGAGCGAACATCCATACCCCGAGCGACGTAAGGACGAGCCGGCTCACGAGTAATGTAATTACCGCGCGCGTCAATTGGAATCAACGCCATACTTTTCTCGCGTCCAAAGTAAACACGCGAAAAATATTCGTCGTGCCGATATGAGAAGCACACCTGCAACGATCGACACCCATCGGTCGGACGTAATTACATTACTCCCTACACACACTCTGTGGATCCAAGCTCCGTATCTCTTTTTTTTTTTTCCATTTGGCTGCACAAAACGATACTTGCTCCATGATAGCCAGTAGTGCGATACATATAATATCCACCTCTTAGACCACGTACTGCCGTATTATTATAGTCGCGCTCGAACCAATGGAGTTTATTACCGATCCTCCATCGTTTGCGGGCGCGAAGCTTGATACAACCGCTTATATAGTTGTAGCATACATACGTATAAGTGAGAGGAGGAGAGAGAGAGAGAGTGTGCGAGTAGAAAGTATAATTTGTACAGACCAGTGTAAAAGAGCGCGTGGCGTTTGTGTTTTTTTTTTTTTGTGGTTGTGGATTTTTCAGCAGGCGTACGGCCAGTACATCCCGGCGGCGGGGGCCCAGGCGGGCTCGGCGGGTCTGCAGCCGAGCGAGGGCCGGACGAGCGCCGGGGCCGACGACACCTGCCTCGTCGAGGCCTCGTTCTGAACGCGAGCCGACCCCAACTCCTCCTCCTCCTGCTTCTTCTTCTTCTTCTCTATATCCGCGCGTCTCTCTCTCTCTCCCCCGCAACAACCACCCCTTGAGTGAGCGCGGGTCTCTATGCACCTTACTCCGATCACAGAGAGAGACAGAGAGACACGATGGTGGCAAACAAGAGACTGAGAGAGAGAGAGAGAGAGAGAGAGAAGAGCCACGCAAACTCAACATTTTGACGAGACAGTGCGTTGTAGATAGAGCACACCGCGGGAACGGGACTATGCTTGATTGATCCATCGGTACGAACACACACACACACACACACACACACACACGCATCGACACAATTGTAATATTATCAGTAGAGGACATCATAATTATACATATTGATAGATAGATACGTATTATTGTGTGCGTGGTGCTGCTATCTGCCGATGCCGCTGCTGCTGCCGATGATCATGATGATGATGATGATGTACTTGTTGTTCTTGTTGTATAGATTTTGATTAAGAGTGAGATGATTTTACCAGCCCCTACATAATTATAATAGTGATTCATTGTGTTGCACGTGTTATTTATACATACATCAATAGTACATTTATTAGCGTTATTTATATAGACTCTGCGCACTTAGAGAGCAATGCCATATGTTGTATAATTACATGTACGAACGATACGGATTTTTATACATAATTACCTTGAGGAGCAACTATTGCGATACTTACTGATGTACAGAGTTATTATATACAGTTGTTGGACGCGACGAGACGGTACACGGGTTTTTTTTTTTTTTTTTTTCCATGAATCACCGGTACACGCAAACACATATCGTAGTTACGTACTGTAAGTTGTACGCGCTCGCGATAATCATGCGGAGATTTTTCTCATCGATGCTCGGACGTGCCATTAGGCTTATTAATCCATAAACACGTAATCAGAGCGTCCACGCGGTATATACTTGNTTAAAAAAAAGTAAAAAAAAAAAAAAAAAAAAAAAAAAAAAAAAAAAAAAAAAAAGTCAAGGATAATAACTCAGTGTGCAAAACAAGCAGAGGAGATACCCAATAACGATACCAATCAAAATTCTTCTATTTCCTCATATATACATTCCCGCGACGATTTGGGGACGCATCTTCACGTGGGGACACACAACAACGACTTCTACTACCATCGCTGCTCCATGTCTCGTCCATCATCGGTGCGCCTGTCTTATCCGTCTCTCTGTATAATGCATCGATGATGTGCGCCAACCTTGGGAATTTCCCCGATGAATTGGACACACGGATCTCGAAAATCATACGAACGCTATTTAACGTGGGACATTGATTTTGGACACTCATCGTTTCGTGCAAAAATAATTTTAAAAAACAAAACGGAATACTCACGTCGTAAATTGAAAAAAAAAAACAAAAAAAAAAACAAAACTCTCATTGAACGATTATCCCGGTAGAGCTTGTCGTATCAGATGACGGTGACCGAGAGCAAGGATAAAGTGGTGCTTGTTTACGGCGACCGTATTGAAGTGCGGACAAAGGTAAAGAACAAGATTTTTAGGGAGCAAGAAAACGCATTATATACTTAGCCATATACATGAAATGTTTTGTCACGCAATATTGCAATCATATATGTATATGTATATGGATTATATACATCGGTGCATATACATATATGTACACGTCATTGTGAGCACGTCATGCTATATATATATATAATTATTATTATTATTATTATTATTATTATTAGCGTCGGCCAATGCTCATTGTTGATATTGTTAAGACTAGTTACCATACACGTGTACATCGAACACATCTGCTTACGTGTACCTATATATATATACACACGTGTACGGTTAACGAGCCGTTGTTATTCTCAGCTCATTACCGCGGTATTTATAGATGAAATTTTTTTTTTCTCCCTTCCCCTTCAATTAGCCATCGATTAGCTATAGAAACTTGCACATTGAACGCCAAGGGTTATTAATATACGGGCTATGTATAGCTTTTCAATGCCACACACAAGTAGGATATAACCACGAGAGTAAAAAAAAAAAAAAAAAAAATAAANGTGTATCTGGGTTTTCGTCGAGAATTCTTGCAATCTCAATTTTTCACGGCATTAGATATCGTTTCCAAAGTGTAGGCAAAATGTTTGCAACTCGAGTTAATATTTCAGGGAAAATTACTCGAGACAACCTTATTCCACACTTGAAAAAGAGAAAAAAAAAAAAGAAAAAAAAGAGAGATACTAGTTAAAAAATTGTGAGATTACGGAGAGACGGACGGACGGGAGCCAAGGAAGTCTACGAGCAAGAGAGCGGCAAACGTCCCGAGCCGAACGAATGACAATGAAATATATATAGAAAGAGAGAGACAAAAAGTATAGTGCAATAGATGCAAAAAAAAAAAAAAAAAAAAAACAATAGTAAATCGTTGCTTCGCCTGGCTTCTTCCCTCCACTTGTCGTTGTGCAAGCGTTTCACGCAAAGCCTCCAGGAGGGCCTCCAGGAGATACGTCGGAAATAACCGTGGATATAACACATAGTTTGACTTTGGTTCTTTATTTCTTGAAATCTTATTATCCTCCAACTTATTAGATCTCTTCTTTTTCCAATACTATGTATTGCCACCATAACTACAGCCTGCGCATAAATCTCAACATTTTTTTTTTTTGCTTACGTCTGCACCGTATATGATTACACACACACGAACGCGACGACACGAGCCGTAGAATGCCATGCGTTGAATGCCATGCATTGCTTAATATATTTCAACCTCTAGCCGATCATCATCCTCACAATCGATAGGATTAACCATCTCTCTTTCCCCTCGATGCACAGAGACGAAGATATTTTACAAACGTAGTGAGAGAGAGAGAGAGAGAGAGAGCGACACTTGTGTTGTTTTTTTTACATCATTTAGAAAACAGAACAGTAATCGACAGTATTAGCGATGACCACCAAGTAGATTTATAAAAGCATTGTGCGTCGATGTTTTGGTTACTGTGTTCCGTATACCAATTATTATAAAAGCGAATGTTCAATCTTTTACTTTCTTTTTTTTTTTTGGTACCATATATTTCAGTGTTTACGAGTAACCGTAGATTAATTATTTTTGTACGAATCAGTAGTGTTTTTAAAATCTCTTATTATACATGTATATATATATTTATTATACACACTTAAAATTACCCACCATTTCCGTAGTTTATTTATTACGAGTAGTTGTTGATCGTAGTATACCCTATTTTTTCTACATAACTAATCGAGAATGTTTATACGTACATACATATTTAAATTTTACCTTGATATATTACTATGTATACTCACCTTTGATTGGCTGTTGTACCTGTGTAAAGTGTATCCCCTCCCTTCAACTAATTACTACATATATATACCCCTTATAAGCCATGTATACAATATATTTAGGTATACATGACCGTAGTTGATTGCTTAACTTATTGTGTCTTGCTTTAAGATTAAGTAAAAAAAAAAAAAAAAAAAAAAAAAAAAAAAACGTAAGATGGCAATCACACTTGGTTGCTGTCTCGCATGTGGCTTGTAAAAGTAGTCCGCTTCGATTATTCAATCCCTTTTTTATAATTATTATTATATATATTTATACATACATATGATACATATATTTTTTATTATACATACGTAATTTTTACGACTCTTTATCGGCTCGCGCAAAGGTAAGCAGGTTTTCCAGGACACGCGTTTTTACATTTTCGAACGGGGAAACGGAGGAAAAGAAGGGACAAAGTTATCCGAAAAAAAAAAAAAGTTTTGGAGACGATATTTCATCTAATAGGTATGTACGTGGATGATTTACTGGAAGATTCTGCTTCCTTCGCGCGGAGCTTTCAAAGTTGACATTCTTATATTACTATTGAATCTGACTTTATTTTTTTTTTATATAGAGAGATGAGCACGAGAAAAAGGAATCTTGAGCGAATGGGACGCGCGAATGGAGTAGACGTAGATCAGAGCGGATGACTGGATTTTTCGGACCCTGAAGTGAAATTGGGTTGTACGTGGTATTCGGAGCAAAGAGGCCCAATTTTACGACAGGGTTTCGCACGAGCACGGTCTACTGGATGTGTCACTGTAATATACTTATCCAAGTGTGTTTAAGCACACGTTCAAAGCTTGTGATCGGAATTTTGGTTTTTTATAAAATGCATCAAGTATAGAACCCTTAATAAATTTAAAAAAAAAAACCGTGTCGATGCTTCGCAAGCTATTTCACCTATTTTATCAAAGTGAACAATGTTTTTCTTCCACTATTGACATAAGTATGCTGTAGAGAGTAAAACATTTCTGTCACAGATTTGACACACTTGTGAGAGCGTTAAATCTGTAACAGCCAAGTTTTTTCACTCCACAGATTTCCTATATTTTGGTTTTTCCCATTAAAAAATGCCCAATTTGATGGAACTGGTTAACTTTTTGGCGCACCATAGATTTGGTTGCTCTTCAAATTGTTATCCACGACACCATACGATGTATTTTATAAAAAACCAAAATTTCAACTTCATTTATTTTTAACGTGTGCTTTTTTTAACACACTTGGTACTTACATTGTAAATAACTGACACGATTCTTGGGTAAAACGATGTACCGTCCAGTACTCCGTGTATGCTTGAAATGACGGATGCACGGGAGAGCGAGCACGATTAGAGGTAGTTTTTTTTTTTTTTTTTTTTTTCTAACTGAAAATGGTAATGAGGATGATGATGATGATGAGCACGCAAGGATATAAGGGAGGAAGGAAGATGTGGAATTGACACATGCCCGAAATGCCAATTGTTCCAGGATTTAAAGAAACGCGGCTCGCACACCTGCGACATGCAGGCCCTGCGGCCGCTCCCGGTCGTTTCCAACACCATCGCCACCACCACGGCCACGTCCGATGTGTGCACCTCCGGTGGCCAGCCACCGATTTTGGAGACCGCCTGAGCCGAAGCCGGTGATGATCGATTCGTCCCCGCGCTGCAATCGCCGTTGACTCTTCATCCACGACCACCAGATAGTAGAAAAAGATAATGAAAAAAAAAAAAAAAAAAAAAAAAA